TGGTTGCTGCTGCACGCAATGTTGATTTTTTTTAAAAACTTAAAAAACTTTTTTTTTTTTAAAAAAAAAAGTTTTTTTGATCGTGAACAGATCAAAACACTGACAGAATCCATGGATGGCAGGCTTTTGAGTGTCCTTGCAAAGAAAGGTGGCTATAGTGGTCACTGATTTGTTTTTAAATGTCAGAAATGTATATTTGTGAATGTTGAGCTGTTATATTGGTTTCCCTGGTGAAAATAAATAATTGAAATGGGTATATATTTGTTTTTTGTTAAGTTGCCTAATAATTATGCACAGTAATAGTCACCTGCACACACAGATATCCTCCTAAAATAGCTAAAACTAAAAAAGCCCCACTCCAAATCCCAAAAATATTCAGCTTTGATATTAATGAGTCTTTTGGGTTCATTAAGAACATGGTTGTTGTTCAATAATAAAATTAATCCTCAAAAATACAACTTGCCTAATAATTCTGCACTCCCTGTATATGGATGCAGTGAGGGAGAACATGCAGATAGTTGGAGTCAGAGTAGAAGATACAGAGAACAGGGAGAGATGGAAATCAATGATTCACTGTGGCAACCCCTGAAAAAGGGACAAGCCGAAATCTCATTTATAGGACAGCCGCACTGAACAGTTCTTAAAAATTACTGCTACTGCTAAAGATTTGGGACATATGCACAATAATAGTACTATATACCATTTAGCCGTACCGTACCCAAAATAAAGAAACATCCTTAAGCTTCTCAGCTGGCTGGGCGGCTTTCAGTTCATCAATAAACAATGTCTATGGTTATTACAGTCAATAATGTCAACACCGCATAAGGTTTAACCAGTAATCCCATTAAGTAGAAATGACATTAAAATATTCTTATATAACTGTAAGAGAAATTAGTTTTCTTTTTCTAGATGACCAGTGGGTCCAGGAGTTATGTGTAAGTGTGTAATTTAAGGTTGTACAAAAACGTATGCAGTATAAAAAATGTTCAAGTAATATTTGGAAAATGTATAAAGGTTAACTTTGCACACCAGGATTGTATTACAGATTGTGTAACAGCATTGGGTTTCAAACTAAAAGTAGCATAAGTAACAGTTTAGGGCCAATGTAGGACTAACCTCTCCTATCCTAACAAACGCACTAATATCTAACATGCTCTAAGACCGACTATGACTATAACTGTACTTTTTCTATTTAGTATTATTTATTATATTGGATAAAAGCGTCTTCTTAATGTATTGTAAACTGTCGTTGTCTGTCCTTAAATAACACAATAACCAGAGTTGTATCTCATTTACAACGTATATCTGGTAAATAGTACAATAAGCTTCTTAAGACATACTTTACTCTTTGATGGGTAGTTTGCTAATAGCTAGCACTTTAACCAAAAACAAAATCAATATCCCTCCGTTTTTGTGAAATACATACTTTAAACCTTTCTACATGTGTTTCTTCCTACAATTATCTGCAGTCATTCTCACAATTTCAATGAATTAACAAGAAGGTGACTATTGGAAGTAATGCGTCAGACTGACCGACGTCCTGCTCAGTCTGTCCCAGTTTTCACTGTTTTGATGACGTCTATAATTACTGACAGATGTCAGCAAAGTCAAAACTATCCACTAGACTCCATCACAACACTCCATACACACAAACATTCACACACTCACTCACACACACACTCACACGCACAAAGGGTTCAGTTACATGGACCTTAGCCACACCACTGAGCCCACCACTACATAGAGGGAGGGGGGGGACTGCATGGATTTAACAAAACACATGCACTTTCAGTTTGATGACTGAAATAAATACAACTACGGTCTGAGAAAACCTGGAGCCAATGAGGGTTATTAGGGAGTGAATAAGAGGAAGAGAAAGAGAGAGTGGAAGAGAGAGAGAGAGAAAGGCTGGGCACAGCTGAACTCTGTCTCTCTCACACACATAAGAACGGTACATCCACATAACCACAATCACTACCTGTAAAGTTTACCTGTAGAGAAAAGGCTCTGAGCGCCGGGATGGGGATGAGGGCTGCCATGAAGAATGCTGTGACGTTACTGATGGAGGTGAGAGCCACGCTGGCCCCGGTCCTCTTCAGGCACTCTCCTGTACGATCCTGACAGACACACATACCCAGAGGCAAGCAGATGAAAGCAAATGCGATGAAACTGAACTCTTTTTTAATCATATTTTACCCAAAGGCACAGGTGTTATAGTTGATATTATATACAATTATCATAATACTCATATGACTGACAGCAATTGAAATGTTTCTTGACACCCTGAAGGACTTGGATAATCCACCTGGGCCTGTCTACAAGGAGTCTTCACAGTAGAAAGAAAAGAAGAAGGAACAAAATGACCCAGTGCCTTAAATAAAAAAAAAATCAATCATGGAGTGGTTGAAGCCAAACAATCTATTTTCACCATCTATCACAGTTAATAGTTGTGCAAGGTGCACAAATATCCAACGAAATTGGCAGGGCATCATGTTAAGATTTAAGGACCACACAGGAAGTGCTTGCAGGCATGTGGAGCTCTGTGTGTGTGTGTTCAGGTTTTTCCCATTTTCATCTCTGCAAGAAGCAGGGGGATGAGAGAGACAAAAAACACAAAGAGGGGGTGGAGGGGTGCAAAAACACGTAAATACATGTCTGAGACTTCCATTTCTGGAGATGAAAAGTTATTCCTCTTCTCCTCACACAAATACACTCACACTCACGCAAACACAGATATTTATGTTGCTACTCTAGTTAAGACAATTTTCGATTTAGTTTTAATCCTCTCAATGGTTGTCTAACACTGCGGTAAAAATGTTTCTTCTGCAAGCATTAAATTATTTTCTCTGTCTCTGTTATCAAACATTTCACAAACATTTCACTAGAATTTATTAACTTTTTTAAAACCACTAAAAACAGTATATAAACTTAATATTAAAATACAACATCAATCTTTTTGAGTCTCATAATATTTAACACACAATTTGCCAAAGATCTTATGATAAACAATGATGTTAAATACAACCCTAATGTCAAATAAAAAAAAAAAAATAGGGTACACTTTGGGACATTATATATGCTGGCTGTGTATGTGAGTCTGTGAGAATTTGTTGGTGTGGTCACATGGGCTATTTAATGCTACATCACAGGCACATACAGGCTTTCACACATTCTTCTATGGAGTTCCGATAACACAGCTGAGATATAGGCTGAGATCATAGATAGTCGTCTCACCTCGAACGGGATCCACTTGTTTTGTCCAGTCTCACTGAAGGCATGAGCGAGGAGGAAGACATCGTCTACTCCAACTCCCAAGGCCAAGAAGGGCAGTACCTGCACCATATACAAGGATCATGTGGTGTACACCTTTAAAGCAACTTCAAGTTTTCAAATATTCAAAGTCAAGGGGTCATCAGCTATATCTGTTGGAAGGCCAGAATTTTTCTGGAGGCCTTGGGGCCCAGACACTAAAATTAAATACAAATCATTTTATAAAACATTATCATTTGATGTTTACTTTGGAAGTGGCGCTTTGGCCCAGAGGCAATGTCTCTGTCATTGGTGTGGAACCCCAGGGTTCACCTCCTGGGCAAGTTCGAATCCCGGTTAGGGCGGTTGGTACCTTCCAGTGGACTCACCACCTGCAGGAAGGTTTAGGTACGGTGCAATGTGATTTGGGTGGCGACTGCTGCCCCCGCAACCCGGTAGCGGATGAAAATGGACGGACGGATGGATGGATGGGTTTATTTTGGAATCAAGTTGTGGGCTGGATTGGCCCACAGACCACCAGTTGATGATCATTGCTCTAAGTGATTTAAACAAATTGCATTACTAGCTAACAAAAATGTAAGCTTGCCTTTCGACTGAATAATTGACAAAGACACCTTTACTGTTAATCAATTATTTATTTTATCAATAAATCAGATGATTATGGGTGTTCGAGCTGGTGCTAAGATGTTTATGGCCTATGTGGGGATAACTCATCAATATGAGGTCATTTTACATGTACTTCTCTCTAAACAGCATACAGAATGCAATTGGGTTGGAGGTGAAGTGGTGTAGGAGGCTGGAGTGGTGCAGTGGAACTCCTGGGTTCCAAACGACCTAGTCCCCAAATCCCAGGATGGGTTGTGTGAGGACAGGCATTCTAGGTAAAAACTAAAAAAAAATAAATATTTGGACGAACACTGTGGGACAAGCTGATTGAGGGACAAGCCGAGAGTTCTTATGTGTTGGTTGCAGTGAGTTACCTGTGTGGTTGCAGCATTGAAGGAGATGCCAAGGAGAGAACAGAGGCCTAGACCAGCAGCCACAGACAGCGTTACTAGCAGGACGCCGGCCAGTCCTACAGCCCCCTGAGACTTAGCGCAGTCCCAGCGCAGCATGGTGAGACATGCGTAGGCCAGCTAGACAAAAACAGCATCGAAATTTGAGATTTTTGAAATCCTCTGGTGAGCACTAACTTAAGTTGATTGAGTTAACCCTTGTCTCCCACTTTAATTCATGACTATATCCAATTGCCCATGTTTTCAACTTCCCTCATTCAAGCCATGACCAAAGTGGGAAATTTGACTTCATAATTTAATTTTATGGCTCCGTACTCACCATCAGCAGGTAACCACTGGCCACACGGGTGACGCTGATGTCGGAGAAGGACTTGAGGATATCTTCCAGACTGGTTGTGGTGAAAGACAAGACTTTCTGGGAGGAATTTGTCGCCACACTCTGCAGCACGGCCTGAAACACATTGATCGATAGGAGAAGAGGTGCAAGAAATAACAACATATTGCATCCTTAAAAAAAAACTTACCTGATGTTGCACTCCAGCAGCAATGTTATAGTTTACTGAACATAGCTGTCTGTTTTAGATTTGTTTGTTTGTTTGTTTATTACACTTTTAGGCAGATTTGCCTAACAGAAAGTTAAATATCACGTGGTTATCATGTGGTGTGATTACTAGTACAGCACGTATGAGATTAACACTGACACACATTAGAAAACATGCACACACATACTCACACAGAACAGATATAAATTGTTCTGTATTTAAGTGTCAGAAACTATCAAATACAATCAAAAAAACATTTTCAACGTACATTCACTGACGCAACTATACATATCCGTCCACTGACAAAAGTGCAGTATTTCCATATGTGATCACCCCTCTTTTCTATCAGTGACCCCTGGGCCTCAAGATAAATAGTGTACACACACAGACACACACACAAGGTCACACCATGTCAAACTGGGGTTGGGGCCCTCAAAACAAAGACCAGATGATTTTACACACAAGCCACCAACGGGGCCACAGCTGGAAAAGCAATTGTGTGTGAACTTTGGAGTGTGTTCACATGTGCGTTTTAATGTGCGTATGTGAAAGAAAATTGGATTGAGAGAAAAGACAGAAATAGAGAGAGAGAGAGAGAGCAGTATCCACTACTGCCTTAATGTATTTCAGACATGCTTTCCTTATTTCTGTATTGCTCCTCTTTATTGGAACGCAAAAGGAAAGCTGCAGCCTTTTACCTTTGGATGGGGCCTTTCCATGTTCACCTGTATCCGGCCAGTGATTTAAAGTGCGGTTGTAGAAGATTTAGGCTAGATTTCTTTCTTTTTTTTTCTCGTTCTTGCTTGTCTTTTTTTCCCAGGTCTCTTTCTTCCCTACTTCAGTATGAGTGTTTTGGCCCTCACCTCGGAGTATCTCCTCTGCCAGGCTTCCAGTATAGCTGCAGCCTTTTCTTCATTCCAGTTGATGTGGGAAACCTCTTCATAGCCCTGAAAGTGCTCAAACATCTGCTTGGGAGTCATTAGCTGGAACATGGTTTGCAAGGCCTGGGCACTGGAAAGAAGAAAAGAAGGGAGGGTGGCAGAAAGGACAGCATGTCACTGAGGTGCACGTCTTAACTGACCACATCAAGTTTGCCTGGGAAGGTCCAGAAGAATCACCAAACCAACAGGGAGATGAGAGAAAGCAGGGAAATGGTGTTATACTGGGGATTTAAGATCCAAAACAGGGCCAGAACCTCAACATTTACTTAATTTCTTAACCAGAAACCCCTGAACTAAAAGGCTTCTAATTTAACTAGTGACAGAAGATGGGGGGTTGTAGGTAATAAAGACCAAAACCACAGCATCCGGACCACATCGGATAAGACCACCTGCTGCTAAAGCATAATATTGTTCCTTCTGATATAAAAGTTAAAGCAATAATAACGTTGCCCACAGTCATGGAACATACTCCCGTTCCCACAAACTCTGTGGCAAAACATGATTTTCATATCTGTGGTAGAAAATAATGCTTTTCTACTTTTTTATGCTTTTAGTGATGGATGATTGCCAAGTCTATAAATATATGATCGCAAAATGGAGAGATCCTACAAAATGGATTCTGACAACAGTCAGTAAAGCTCACAATCGTGTTCTGACATACAGTCCCCTCCAAAAGTATTGGAACAGCAAGGGCAATTCCTTTGTTTTTGTTGTATACTGAAGACATTTGGGTTTCAGATCAAAAGATGAATGTGAGACAAAAGTTCAGAATTCCAGCTTTTATTTCATGGTATTGACATCCAGGTGTGTTAAACAACTCAGGACTGAGCCCATTTTCTTTGAACCCACCCACATTTCAAGTGAGCAAAAGTATTGGAACAGACATTATTAACATAAATTAAAGTGAATAACATTTAATATTTGGTGGCGTAACCCTTACTTGCAATAACTGCATCAAGCCTGCGACCCATTGACTTCACCAGGCCCTTGCATTCTTCATTTGAAATGCTGTTCCAGGCCTTTACTGTGGCCTCTTTCAGTTCTTGTTTGTTTCTGGGGGCTTCTCCCTTCAGTCTCCTCTTCAGGAGGGAAAACGCATGCTCTATTGGGTTAAGGTCTGGTGACTGACTTGGCCAGTCCAAGACCTTCCACTTTTTCCCCCTGATGAAGTCCTTTGTTGTGTTGGCGGTGTGTTTTGGGTCATTGTCGTGTTGCATGATGAAGCTTCTCCCGATTAGTTTGGATGCATTTTTCTGTAAATTGCCAGACAGAATGGTTTTGTAGACTTCAGAATTAATTCTGCTGCTACCATCATGTGTTACATCATCAATAAAGACAAGTGAGCCCATTCCAGAAGCAGCCATGCAAGCCCAAGCCATGACATTACCTCCACCATGTTTCACCGATGAGCTTGTATGTTTTGGATCATTAGCAGATCCTTTCTTTCTCCATACTTTGGCCCTCCCCCCCCCTTTTTTGTGGGGAGGGTTATCTCTCCCCACAAGC